AAAAATCAAATCAAACCTTCAAAAAATTAAACCAAAATAAAAACTGATCAAAAACCCTAAAATTCTGGAGAAATCTTATCGATTTCGACCGTCGACGACGATACGAAGTTCGGGTGTTAAACTTAGGGTGAAAGCTTAGAAAGAACGACAGCAGTAGAACCACCAACTCTTTCGAGAGAGGGGAGGGCGGCGAGGCTCGGGGGAAGGTCGACGGTGGTCAGGGTAGGGGCGGCGGTGGTCTGGGCTGGTTTTCATGTAGTGTTTTAGGTGTGAAGGTGGTGATGTGGTGGTGTGAAGGTGGGTAGGGAAAGGGAATGGAAAAGTCTACGGGGGTGGGGAATGAATTTGGAAGGATTTGGGGTAATGGAGAGGGTAAAGGGAATGATTAAAAGTGCTTAACAAACAACAACAAAGGGAATCGGGGCAGTTGATTCCCATTCCCTTTCCTGAATACCCCCAACCAAACGACCCCTTAATTATTTGTGATTATTTGTTAACCTTATATTGATTAAGGTTATATTTATTTGTAGGGTGTTTTTGATCAAGCTACTTGAGGGTTCTTTTGAGGTGTTTTTGGCTAAGCTAGGATCAAGGTACGTTAGGTGGCTAGATACCTTGAAAGTGTTTGGTTGAATAAGCATGTTTGAATGGTTTTGTGATAAATTGAATTAAATTATGATTTATGAAATAAAAGTATGTTTAAATGATTGGTTTTAATAATTAAAATGAGGCATTAATTTTAAATCATATTTTGAATGATTAAAATTATTATTCATGTTTTGAAAAGGTTTGATATTGAAAGAAAGTTGAATTTAATAATGGAGTTTGAATTAACAGGAATTATGTGATTTAAAAGAGGATATATTAAATCATTGAATTAATTTATTATATATGCTTTAAGCATGTTAGTAATCCCACTTTGCGGATTTGGTTTATTGATAAGGCCTTGGAATTTGTGTGACCGGGTCTTTCCTCAAGAATAGCTTTGTAACATAAGGAGACTAGCTTGAGGGGTGTGCACACTTGGGAGAGGAATTGGTTTAATTGGTTTATTATGAGAAATTGGTTTTTATTATGAGGAATTGGTTTTTAATATAAGGAATTGGTATTAGTTTTATTGGTTATGGATATTGGAGTATTGAGAATCGGTTTTGAATCATGAGTTGGAATTATTGGATTAATTATTGGAATTGATTTCACAAGCGTGTTTGCAAATAAATTGAGTTTAATCAACTTGCATTTATCGTACTTAGCATATTTTGCGAACCCGTACTTCTTACTTGTTTTGGTTCGCCCTGTTTACCGTAATGGTTAGTAGTGTTATTTCAGGTGGAGTGAATAAATTGATGCATTGGAGTCCCATAATTTTGTATCAACTATATTAGGAGTTTTTGGTCTTGTATTTAATTTGAGTACTCATGATATTGGTTTCTATTTATAGTTATTATTAATAAATAAGAGTTTTGAAGTTTCCGCTGGAATGTATTGATTTATTTAGTAAGTTTGAGTAGCCTTGTGTAATCACGCGGCGGTAATACGCCTAAGTCCTTCTCTACGGTATAATTATACGTATTATACTAGTATTTCCGTAAAGGGAGATTTGGGGGTGTTACAAAGTGGTATAAGAGCTCAAGGTCTTAAAAAGATTAAAATTGGAATAGTAATTAAAATTGTGGGTAGACTTAAGAGGGCATATAGGATAGATAGAGTTTCGCATTTGTGTGTTAGTCAAAAGCCTTATTTTTACTTAAAAACTATTTTCCTATTTGTGGAAAGATGAAGGAAAAAAAGGATTCTTGATTTCTCTACGGAGGCCTATAATGGGTACGTTGACTCTCTGTCTAGGAAAGGCTTGCCTCAACGTCGTAGGTAACTTTCCTGGGAGACGCGGGCTTGACTGTCCTTTAATCTAGATTCCAGTACATTTATTATTTTCGAAAATAAAAAGAATTGAAATAATTTAAACTTGAGTATGCAATTATGTGTGCATTAAAGTTGGTGTTAAAACACTTGAAGTGAGTATAGGGGTCCGTAATTTTGGAGTATTACCCATGGTTGGGTGATTTTGAGTTATACTGGGTTTATTGAGTTATGAATTGCTTATTGCAAATGGATTTTGAATTGGATTGTTTGTGTGAATTGGCATTTAATTAATTGTTTTGCATGTGTGTGTAAAATAGATGGAAAAGATTGATTAAATGAAACACCAATATTTTGACATTCATTTCTTGAATGATAGTGGAATCTCAGTTAGTGAGTTCATGACTGGAATTTGTACTTTGGCCTTGACCCTTTATGAGAAGCATGGTGAGGAAGCCTTGACCCAACAACCTTGGATGGTCCTTTTGGCTTTGGCTCATTCTAGGATTAAGAAATACCAACCTCTCTTTGACAAATATAGGGATGTGATCAAGGAAGATGAAACAATGTGGAATGAGAAGCATCATCATGAAGGGAAGTGGTTGTAAACCATGTTTAACCTTAAAAAGGACTTGCACTATGTAAAGCGCAAGTATGAACCTAGGAGAAAAGTTGTGAAAATTCCCACGATCTTAAAAGATCTAACCTAGGGACCTAATGACCAAATGTACTTCTTACATGCCCAAGTACCTTTTTCATACCCAAAGAAGAGACATGAGTATGTGGAATCTAATGATGAGTCCATACCACCTCTTAGTAGGAGCAAGCATTGCTGTTCTCTTAGCCAAAATCCAAGCTATGAATCTTCAAAACAACCTAACCAAAAAGTCCATTTCCATGTTGCAAGAAGGCCTATAACTCGTTCTTAAACTGTAAAAGAAAGAGCCCAAAACCTCAAAGCTTCTTCAAGCCAACCTCGTAGGGATGTAAGCCCAACAAAAAGCCTAAGTTACACTCTTGGCCTGGACGAAAATATAAATAAATCTTGACCAATCTCGTCAGGCCTTATTTCAAGCTATAATGGTTATAACCCAACTCTCATGGCCGAACCAAGTAATAGAAGTGATGATCAGGATTATGATCTTATTGAAGATGGTTATGCTCATAGTGTTATTTGATTGATTGATTTTTAAATTATGGTTTTGTTTAATATTTTAATAATTGTCCTAAATGACAAAGTTGTATTTTCATTAATTATTAATGAAATAAAATGAATTATTTGATATTTCTCTATGTTGTTAAGTGAATTAAATGCTTATATGATAAAACTTGTTTTAATTTTCAAGGTGTGATAATTAAACCCAGGAAGTATGTCTCCAAGAATGAGGGAATAATTAAGGAGTAAGCGCACTGGTTCAAAAGTTAGAAAGGTCCTTAAGCAGTTAACCCATACTACTGAGAACATCACAAAAGTGGTGAAAAGGGAACACCAAAATCCCTAGCTTTATGCCTTAAGTGAAGTCTTTAAGAGGGTAGTTGCAACTAAGCCACCTGTTTACTTGGGAAGGGAGGACCCAGCCAGCCTTTTTAAAACTGGATTAGGGAATTTGATAAGTTGTTTGTGCTATCAATTACCCAAGTGAGCTGAAGGTGAACAATGAGGTTTACTACCTGAGGGAGGAAGCTGATTTATGGTGGGCCCAAAGAAAAGGTGAGATGTTGAAAAAGCCAAACTTTGGGTGGGATGAGTTTAAGGAAGCCTTGCGAGAAAAGTTTTACACATCCTACCTTAGAAAACAGAAGTGCATGGAGTTTACCAACCTGAGAATGGGAAACATGTCAATCAGTGAATACTACAACAAGTTCATTGATTTGATGAGGTTTGCCCCAGAAGTAGTCCCTATTGAAATCATCAAAGCTCAGAGATTCGAGCAAGGCCTAACCTTGACATTCCAAGGGAAGCTAGGGGGAGTGACTTTTGATACCCTGGATGAAGTCTATGGCCGTGCAGCTCATCTGTAAGGAATTAAGGGGAGAGAGATGGAGTAGGTAGGAGAGAAAAGGAAGAACCCAGACTCTTTTCACGGGGGTGAAAATAGGCACAAGCCCAATGGGAATTACCAAGGGAATTCTGGTGCTAGGAAGGACAAAAAGGGAAACTTTGGGAAGGGGGATGGAGGCCAGTCATCCAACCATAAGGGAAATGGGAACCAAAGGGGTAAGAAACCCAAGAGGAGGTATTTCTGCAAGCGGTGTCAGAAAGACCACCCAGGGAAGGACTATGAGGGAAACCTGGTAACCTTTCGTCAGTGTCCAAAGTTGGGACACCGTGAGTACAAGTGTTTCAAGAAGGAAGCTGATTTTAATTTTGGGAACGTGAAAGATTCTAGTACACCTAGAAAACCACCTTGGTCTAATTGACCTACAACCAAGGCTGGAACCAGTAGCGGTGCGGGAAGTGCCCCAAAGGGTTGTGTGTTCATGATGAATAACCGTCAGGTTGAGTCTGCTAATGATGTGGTAATTGGTGTTTTCTTTATAAGTTCTTCTCCTGTGAGAGTCTTGTTTGATTTAGGGGCTTCAAATTCTTTTATTTCTAAGAAAGTAGTTGGGAGTCTCGGTTCAGAGAGTCCTGAGTCAGTTTCTCTAGAAATGTGTTTATCCCGTCCGGGGAAGGGAAGAGTTGTTCGAAATTGTTTTTTAGTGTGCCTATTTCCATCTCTGGGGTAGAATTTCTGGATGATTTGATCGAGTTTGATTTGAATGACTTCGATGTAATTATGGGTATGGATTGGTTGGGAAAGTATGAGGAAAGGATTGATTATGTGGTTGAAAAGGTCACCTTAACTAGCCTAAGTAAGACCAAAGTGGTATATAAAAAGGAAGGGAAAAACTCAAGGTCGAGAATTGTGTCTGCAATGCAACTATAGAAGCTGGTGAAGACGGGTTGTTCTTTGTTCTTGTGTAGTGTTCAAGAGGTTGGAAGTGAGGAAAGGAATGGTGATGAGAGTATTTCAGTGATAGATGAGTTTCCAGATGTATTTCTAGACGAGATTCTGGGCATGCCACCAGTAAGGGATGTTGAGTTCACTATTGACCTATTGCTTAGAACTGGACCTATCTCTAAGAATCCATAAAGGATGGCTTCATCTAAGTTGAGGGAGTTGAAGACCCAGTTGGATGATTTGTTAGAGAAAGGTTATATTAGGCCTAGTTCATCACCTTGGGGAGCCCTAGTATTGTTCGTAAAGAAGAAGGATGGAAGTATGAGGTTGTGTATCGATTACCGAGAGTTGAACAATAAAGATTAAGTATCCATTACCAAGGATCGATGATTTGTTTGACCAGTTGAAAGGAGAAGGGGTATTCTCAAAGATAGATTTGAGATCGGGTTATCACTAGTTGAGAATTGCGGAGCAAGATATTGCAAAGAGTGCTTTCAGAACCCGTTATGGTCACTATGAGTTCACAATTATGCCATTTGATTTGACCAATGCACCTGCAGTGTTCAATGGATTTGATGCATAGGATTTTCAGGCCATACGTGGTCAAGTTTGTGGTAGTGTTTATTGATGATATTTTGGTCTATTCAAAGAATGAAGAAGAACATAAGGAGCATTTAAGACAAGTGTTATTATGTTTAAGGGAGCATCAGTTGTATTCCAATCTGTTTAAGTGTGAGTTTTGGTTGGAGGAAGTAGCATTTTTCGGCCATGTGATTTCCAAGGACGGAGTTTTAGTGGACACAAGCAAGATTCGAGTTGTGAGTGATTGGCTAACACCAAAGAATATGTCGGATGTAAGGAGTTTCTTGGCTTTAGCAGGCTATTATAGAAGGTTTGTGAAGGATTTTTCAAGGATCTCAAAGCCCATGACAAGTTTGATGAAAAAGGAGCATAAGTTTATATGGACTCTAGAGTGTGAGGAGGCATTTAAGATCTTGAAAGAAAGGTGAACCACAGCACCTGTGCTAGCTTTTCCGGATGGAAGTGATCTATATGACGTGTACAGTGATGCATCGAAGTTGGGATTGGGATGTGTGTTGATGCAAAATCAAAGAGTGATTGCGTATGCCTCGAGGCAGTTGAAGGTTCACAAAGGAATTACCCAACCCATGATTTGGAGTTAGCTGCAATAGTGTTTGCTTTGAAAATTTGGAGACATTACTTGTATGGGGTGACTTGTAGGATTTTCAAGGACCATAAGAGTTTGAAGTACATTTTCACCCAGACTCAGTTGAATGGGAGGCATAGATGATGGTTGGAGTATATGAGTGATTATACATTGGATATTCAGTATCATGAGGGAAAGGCTAATTTTGTGGCAGATGCTTTGAGCAGAAAGTCAGAACATACGGTGAATGTGATGGTAGTACCGGATCAGTTGTGTGTGGAATTTCAGAAGTTGAACTTGGAGGTAGTGGAGCATGGTGAAGTGACTAGGACGTTGAATGCCTTGGTGGTTCAACCATCCATTTATGATGAAATAAGGGAAAGTCAATTGGAAGATGAGAAGTTAAAGGCAATAAAGAAGAAGATTGATGAAGGAGAAGTGTTGGATTTCACCATTGGTGATGAGGGGAGTATTCGATTTAAAGGAAGATGGTGTGTACCGCAAATTCGCGGTGATCTGAAACAAAGATTGATGGAGGAGGCTCATAATTCTCCTTATTCAATGCATCCTGGAGGGGATAAGTTGTATAAGGACATGAAGAAGACTTTTTGGTGGCCCAATATGAAGAGAGAAGTGGTTGAATTTGTTGTTAAGTGTTTGACATGTCAAAAGGTGAAGATTGAGCATCGCAGGCCTCAAGGAAAGGTCCAATCCTTGGAGATTACCAAGTGGAAATGGTATTCGATTTCTATGGATTTTGTGGAAGCCTTTCCAAAGACCAAGGTAGGGAATGACACTATTTGGGTAATAGTGGACAAGTTGACGAAGTCAGCAACATTCATACCCATGAGAAGTACTTAGACCATGGATCAGTTGGGAAGAGCATATGTGAATTTTGAGGTGAAGTACCTTGGGGTACCCACGGATATCATTTCGGATAGAGATTTAAGATTTTTGTCTAACTTTTGGCAAAGTTTGCAAAAGGCGATGGGAACTAAGTTGTTAATGAGCACAACATTTCACCCAGCGACAGATGGTCAAACAGAAAGAACGATTCAGACATTGGAGGACATGTTGAGAGCTTGTGTGATGTAGTATCAAGGGTCTTTGGGAAGACCACCTGGATTTGTTAGATTTCTCTTACAACAACAATTACCATGCAAGTATTGGAATTGTACCGTTTGAAGCATTGTATGGTCGGAAGTGTAGAAGCCTAGTGTGTTGGAATGATATAAGTGAGACTATGGTTCTTGGACCAGAGATGATTGAGGATATTGTGAAGCAGGTTAAGTTGATCCAAGAAAAGATTAAAGCAGCCCAAGATCGACAGAAGAGTTATGTTGATTTGAAAAGGAGGGAAGAGGAATATGAAGTAGGAGAGAAAGTTTTGTTGAAAATTTCACCCATGAAAGGGGTGATGAGGTTTGGGAAGAAGGGAAAGCTAAGCCAAAAGTACATAGGGAAATATGAAATCAGCCAGGGAGTGGAAAAAGTGGCTCATAAGTTGGATTTGCCTAGTGAGCTAGAAAGGGTTCACAATGTGTTCCATGTAAGCAAAATTCAAAAGTACATTCCGGACGTGACACATGTGTTACAACTAGAAACTATCGATATGGATGAGAATTTTACTTATGAGGAAAGACCAATAAAGATTATTGACTCTAAGGTAAGGAGCACAAGGAACAAGGACGTGATCATTGTGAAAGTGTTGTGGTCAAATAAAAAAACTGAAGAGGCTACATGGGAAGCTAAACTAGGCTATATGAGGAAATGCTACCAAGAGTTGTTTGCCTAAGGTTAGTGGTCGAGTTACGGGGGCGTAACTCCTTTTAAGGGGGGTAGAGGGCGATAGAGTTTCGCGCGTTTGCTTTTTGAGTCATTTTTGAGTGATTTAGAGTCTTATTTGAGTTTAGTTGGAGTCTTGAGTCAAGTTAGGATGTGCATGAACCAATAATTTCAAAATGATTTTCGTTTGTTTTGGCTAAGTATCGGGTCGAAAATTATTTTAAGAGGGGTAGACTGTAATACCCCATATTTTCATACGTATTTTCCTAATTAATTAATTAATTAATTATTATTTTCTAAAAAGGGTATTTTAGTAATTCAATTTACTATTTAAATCTTGGAGCCAAAATGATATTTGAATTTTGGCGCCAAAAGTATTTTAAAAACAAATTATTATTTTGGATAAAATTTATTATCCATTTATTTATTTTAAAAACTGGATTATTTATATATTTCGGATATTTTAATTAAGGCAAAAGCTATATTTTATTATTATTTTAATAAGGTTTGAAAATCCCATTTAATTGACTAAGAATTTCGGATTTCCTAGTGTGAAAATCTGATTTTATTAGTTAAATTATTTGCTAAATAATTGGTATTTTATTAATTAATTATTTTATACAATAAATATTATTTACACAATTATTTTTAATTCCTTAAAGCTAGCAAAATAATTTCCTAAAAACTAAAGAGGAGGGCTGAACTTATGAGCTTAGGAAAGCTCAAAAATTTCCTCCACCCCAAGTGGATCTTCTCAAAATTGTTTTGCTAATTTGTAGTTTTAATTATCTCCTTAAAATCTCTAATTTTCCTAATTCTAATTCTCCATCTTTTTAATAACTAATCCTCATATTTTCTTCCTCATATTTTCTCTCCATTATTCATTCTCCTTGATTATTCTCCAAGTAATCCCTCTTACCATATTAATTTTCATGACATACATACCTTCCATATTCAAATTAAACACAATCACCTTAATATTAAAACTTTCTTTAATTCGTTTATTCACCTCTCCAAGTAATCCCTTAAACCCTACTTACCATAATTCCTCCTAAATTTTCCTACCATAATTCATACACATGCTAGCCTATAAATACCTTTTTAATTCATGATCAAACACTCACACAGTTCTCATAATTTTCTCTCAAATTCTCTAATCATTTTCTCTTCTTTTCTTTTCTCCTTTTCTTATTTTCTTTCTCCTCCCTTGCGCCACCACCAAGCACCACCCCAGCCACCACTCCTGGCGCCACCTGCGGCCACCTCCAACCACCACTAGCCGCGGTAGCCGCCTGTTGCCGCCACTCCTTGCTCTTCTCTTCTTCAGTTTTTATTTTCTTTTCTCCTTTCTTCTTATTTAATTAATTATTTATATTATGGGGAAGTTATAAAATTATAATAAATGGTTTTAATTAAATAAAAATCAGATTTTTAATTATGTTCTTGAGAAAATAATTTTAAAGTTCATATACATAAAGTTGGGAGGTTTTAATTTATTTATTTGTGATTATTTGTTAACCTTATAGTGATTAAGGTTATGTTTATTTGTAGTGTTTTTTTGATCAACCTACTTGAGGGTTCTTTTGAGGTGTTTTTGGCTAAGCGAGGATCAAGGTACGTTAGGTGGCTAGATACCTTGAAAGTGTTTGGTTTAATAAGCATGTTTGAATGGTTTTGTGATAATTTGAATTAAATTATGATTTATGAAATAAAAGTATGTTTAAATGATTGGTTTTGATAATTAAATTGAGGCATTAATTTTAAATCATGTTTTGAATGATTAAAATTATTATTCATGTTTTTAAAAGGTTTGATATTGAAATAATGTTGAATTTAATAAAGGAGTTTGAATTAATTGGAATGATTGGATTTAAAACAAGATTTATTGAATCATTGAATTAATTTATTATAAGAATGTTAGTTATCCCACTATGCGGATTTGGTTTATTGATAAGGCCTTGGACTTTGTATGATCGGGTCTTTCCTCAAGAATAGCCTTGTAACATAAGGAGACTAGCTTGGGGGGTGTGCACACTTGGGAGAGGAATTTGTTTAATTGGTTTAATTGTTTTATTATGATGAATTGGTTTTTATTATGAGAAATTGGTTTTTAATATGAGGAATTTGTTTTAAATAATTGGTATTGATTTGATTGGTTATGGATATTGGAATATTGAGAATCGGTTTTGAATCATGAGTTGGAATTATTGGATTAATTATTGGAATTGATTTCAAAAGCGTGTTTGCAAATAAATTGAGTTTAATTATCTTGCACTTATCGTACTTAGCATATTTTACCCTGTTTAACGTAGTGGTAAGCAGTGTTAATTCAGGTGGAGTGAATAAATTGATGCATTGGAGTCCCGGGATATGGTTTCAACTATATTAGGAGTTTTTGGTCTTGTATTTAATTTGAGTACTCATGACATTGGTTTCTATTAATAGTTACTATTAATAAAAAAGAGTTTTAAAGTTTCCGCTGCAAAGTATTGATTTATTTAGTAAGTTTAAGTAGCCTTGCGTAATCACGCGGCGGTAATACGCCTAAGTCTATCTCTATGGTATAATTATACGTATTATACTAGTATTTTCGTAGAGGGAGATTTCGGGGTGTTACAAGCATGGATTCGAAATATTTAACGATTGCTACTTCTTGAATGACGATCTTAAAATCGTTTAATCAAAACACCTAACTCCAGGGTGCTATGATGGACAAGAAATCAACTTGCTCTTTGGACTAGAGAAAAATCATGTCGCTACAATGACTAATCAAAATGCCATTCAAGATGAAGCTTTCGACCCAACCTCGTTGATCACCCCTTCTAACGAAACCTTTGAGCATGGATGGAAGAATTCTTTCAAATGGACCAGTCACAAAGGCGATAAGCGGGAAATCGTCACAGTCGATGGGAAGATGTTTGGAGAATCGGACGACGAATCTAGTATAGACTCTAGGGAAGCTAAATATTTAGGCCTTGTGGTCATTACTGAATCTTTATTTTCTAGTTCTAAAGACGAAGATCCCAAAAAGGATTCTTCTCTTGATGTACTCTATTTTGAATTTAATAATATGAGCTCTATTTCCGAGTATATGCCTTCTCTTGAGTCTTTTAAATGCTATAAAAATCAATCTAATGAAGATGATAATATTAATAAATTGGTTGAACTAATGAATGAACGAGAACAAAAGAACCCTATAATTGAAGAAACCGAAATAGTCAATATAAGAACTAATGAAAACAGAAGTGAAGTCAAAATTGGCTTATCTCTAAATCCGGAAGAGCGATCGACCCTCATATCGACACTCAAAGAATTCAAAGATGTGTTCGCTTGGTCATACAAGGACATGCCTGGAATAGATAGGGAAATTGCAGAACATACCATTCCCTTGAACCCTACCTCTAAATAAGTAAAACAAAAAATTCGACGAATGAAACCTGATGTCGCTTTGAAAATAAAAGAAGAAGTACAAAAGCAATTATATGCAAGTTTCATTCGCGAACATCGTCCCAGTCCCTAAAAAGGATGGACGAGTTTGCATGTGTGTCGAATTTAGGGACCTTAATAAGGCTATCCCTAAAGACGATTTTCCTTTACCACATATTGATATATTGGTAGATAACACGGCTGAACATGCAATGTTATCCTTTATGGATGGATACGCAGGTTACAATCAAATTTTAACGGCGAAAGAAGAAGAAAAGACATGCTTTATCACTCCTTGGGGTATATATTGCTACACCGTCATGCCATTTGGTTTAAAAAATGTAGGAGCTACGTACCAAAGAACGGCTACAACTCTCTTTCATAATATGATGCATACAGAAATAGAAGTGTATGTGGATGATATGATCGTAAAGTCTAAAGATAGAATGGGACATATAAAATCTTTACGCAAATTTTTCACTCGCATAAAAGAATACAAAATGCGATTGAATCCACAAAAATGTGCCTTCGAATTAACTTCCAGCAAGTTACTCTGATTCGTATTAAGCACACGTGGTATGAGATCGATCCCTCTAAAATAAAGGCATTCGTTGATATGCCTCCCCCTTAAACAGAAAAAGAAATTAGGGGGTTCCTTGGCAAACTACAATACATTAGTCGGTTTATCAACAAATTAACTATGATTTGTTAGCCAATAATTAAAAAATTGAAAAAAGAAGAAAAACATGAATGGGACGAGCAATGTCAAAAGGTCTTTGATAAAATCAAAGATTATCTCAAAAGTCCACCAATTTTAGCACCACCAGTACCCAAACTACCTCTTAGCTATTCATCACAGTTACAGACACGGCCACATGCACCATGTTAGCACAAGAGGTAGAAAAAGTCGAGCGTGCACTATATTACATAAGTAAAACATTCATTCAATATGAAACAAAATATAACACCTTGGAAAAAACAAGTTTAGCATTAGTGTGGGCAACTAAAAAACTATGACATTATATGCTACCACACACTACTCGTGCAATTTCTCAACAAAATCCGATAAAGTATTTGTTTAAACAACCATCTCTACAAGGAAGAATATCCAAGTGGTTTGTAATGTTGGCCGAATTTTAGCTAAAATATATTCCTGAAATATCAATGAAAGGGAAAGTAATTTCCAATTTTCTGGGCCAACATCCAATTCAAATAAGTCATGCAAAAACTACTCATCTTCCGGATGAAGAGATTCTCATGACACAAGATGGAAAATGGATAATGTACTTTGACGGTGCGTCCTATCAAAAACGATGTGGCGTAGGAGTGTTACTCATAAGTGCAGAGGGAGCACATACTCCAATCTCTGTCAAACTAGACTTTGAGCTTACTAATAATGCCGCAGAATGTGAAGCGTGCATTATTGGATTAGAAGCAGCAGCTAGCATAGGTGTGCAAAAATTAGAGGTATATGGAGATTCAAGTTTGATTATAAATCATATACTGAAAAAATGGAAAATAAAGAACTCCAGAATGGTATTATATCAAGCACACCTAGAGCAACTCATCGAGCATTTATGACAT